AAATACAGCAGAACTTGATTCTTAAATTCATCCATTTGTGTAAAAGAGAAAAAGTAAATGAAGCCCTGTCTTGGAATGAACAAGGGAACCAATCTAAGATTCATTACAGAATAAATTTACTGATTTGCTCTTAAGATTTTTCAACAAGCCTGTATTGGGTGCTTTTTACATGGTTGGAATTTTTCTGCAAAAGGGAACAAAGTACCTTCGCTCTCAAGCTGTATTCTAGCTTTACGGTTGGGAGGAGGGGAGGAGAACAAATAAACCAGGGATGGTAAGGGCTATAAAACAAAGATGCAGAGCAAATGGCTAGATAGACCTGACAGGGAAGACAGAGAAGCCCTCTCTGATAAGGTGATATTTGAATAAGCACTGGAAAGAAGCGAGGTTTAGGAGTAAGCAATATATCTCAGGGAAGAGCATTCCATGGATAAGGAACAACACATTCAAGATCAGAGGTAGGGAGCCAGGTGTGGTGGCGCATGCCTGTAATCCCAGCACTTGGGAAGCTGAGGCAGGAGGATTGCTGTGAGTTCGAGACCAGCCTAGGCTACATAGTGAGTTCCAGGTCAGTCTCAACTACATAGTGAGACACTGTCTCAAAAAAAAAAAAAAAAAAAAAAAAAAAAAAGATCAGAGTAGGGTCATGCTTGGTACATCCAACGCATGGTGTAGCGTTGACTAGTATTACTACAACAGAATGAAAGATGAAAGGAAGGCGAGAAGATGAGGTCAATCAGCAGAAGATGGGCGGCGCATGTAGGTTCTTAACGTCTATGGGATACCTCGGCCTTCAACAGAGGCAGATGAAAAGCTATGGATCATCCCAAGTATAGGAATGACAAGACTTGATGTGCATTAGTAAAAGGTAGGTCTGGCTGCATTGTGGAGTAGGGAAGCCCTAAAGTAAGCTTTCAAGAGTTTGGGCAAAAAGTGGTGGCATGAATCAGAGTTGTGGCAGTGGAGGTGGTGAACAAACTGAAATGTGGGAGGAAAAGAGGGATCAAGGATGCACTACTGTGTTAGCTTAACCCACTGGGAGACTGACTTACCATTTACAGAGCTGATAAAGAGTATGAAAAGAACAACTTCAGGAGAAAATTGGGATCGGGAGACTGATTTTAACCACATCACTGTGAATTTTGCACTCAGGAACATTGGAGATGTTGATAGGTAGACTGCTGAATCCTCTGGTAATCAGAAAAGAGGTCAGGACTGGAGTTAATACACCTGAGAGTTGCCACCATAGAAATGGTATTTAAAACACAAGACTGGATCAGTCCATTTGAGGACTCAGTGTATGTACATCAACAAGAGAAATTCGGCTAGTCACATCCTAGGCCACTGCACTGTTTGGATTTTGGGAGAAGAGCCAACATGAGAGATGGAGAAGGACATCATACCAAGAGATTGTAGGACCAAGAAGCTAAAGGAAGAAGTGTTTTCAAGGAGGGTAAGGTCCATGGTCAACCAACTGACCAATAATAGATTGAACAACATAAAGACCTTAGAACTGGCCATCAGGTATGACAATGGAAAAGTCACCTGATCTGAGTGGAACTGGGCAGAAGATTTGGAAAGCTGCAACAGACTCAAAGCAAAGCAAGGAACAAAACTGGGAAAAGTCAAGTGTGGATAATTTTTTCAAGGACTTACAGCAAAAGAATGAGAAATAGGACAGGAAAGACACTGCAGTTTATGTGAACACTGCTCTAGATCATTCATGAGAGAGAAAAAAGCTGATGGGAAGAAAATCCTTAAAACTGAAACCTTAACATAGTCAACCATTTATGATTCCACTGGAATAATGCAATTAACATTTGTCTGGGGAGGTAGATTTATTCATGGTGTTTCTTCCCTTTCATATATATGCATACCAAAAAAGTGATTACATATGCATACTTTTGAAGAAAAATATTTATGAATAGAATAATAATAGAACCATGGAAAAATAAATGGTTGAAATGGTGTTTTCATATATTTTCTTGTGCCCTCTTTCTTTAGTTCTTCCCTTTAAAGTTTGTCAATGTTCTTGAAGGCCTAAATTTTATAAAAAAATTAATGTTTTATGATTAATGACAATGTGTTTCTCTTCCAATAGTGTTTAAATTTACTGAAATATCTTTGCATAAAGACGGCATGTGAGGGTGAAGGGAGAGCAGGGAGACTGGAAAAAAAGGAGAACCAAGACCTGTCATGTAAAGGTATAAGATCCCAACAATGAATGTAACTGTACTGTATACCTAAGATGTACCAATAAACTCAATGAAGAAAAAAAAAAGATGACATGTGAGATTTGCTCAAAATAATTTATTTGGGAGAAGAGGATGAATTGGCTGGGGTGGGAGTTGGATTAAAGAAGTTGGTTTTGAGTTGATAATGAAGCTGGGCAATGCTACATAAATATGCAACAAAAGTGTGTTTGAGTTTTTAAAATTAGCAAATGTGCAAATAATAGCATTGCTGCATTAACTCTTTAAATATTCACCAAGAGGTACTCCTTGTGTTTTCTAGTTGCTCATTAAACATTTTATAATGTTGTTGTTATTAACATCAATTGTCTCTAATTGCTGGTAAGCTCTACCAGGGAAAGTTAAAAAACTGCAATAATTTTTTCTATATCAGAAATTTTCAGATTTTATTCCTAACACCTCCCATCCACTATACATTCATTTCTAAAAGTGTACTATGTATTTAAGATCTATAAATTCTACTTCAAAAATTAAATCCAAATTATGTTGTCCTTGTGCAGCTATGGTCTCTTTTGGATGGTTTTATTTCCCTCAACATTTTCTTGGTGTAAACTACGCACTGAGCATGGGAACAAGATTTCCTTTGTAATTGATACCTAAATTTCTATTCTGATTTGAGCATCTAATTTGTACTGTAAAGACATATAATTTGAGATTTGTAGCTATATCACAAAAGTACAACAGTTTACTCTGATCTCTAATTTTCTGAGTTGTACTGGCTATAATTTAAATTTTTTGCATGTTTTTAACTGCCATGCAAATCAGTATACATCAGGAAGCTGTGTATACTGAAAGACAGTGGGAAAAGGATGGGCTGTTCTGATTTCAGATAAGCATTCCTTTTTCAGGTCTACAGGTGCAAGGGGGTCCATTCATAATGTTTGCTTAAAAGCAGTCATAGTCACTGGAGAGAAATACAGTGCTAATACAAAATAACTTTTTGAATCTTTACAAGCACAGCAAATTTTTAAATATTACTTTTATTAGCAAATTCTAGAGGCAAGTGGGATTTTTTTCATTTGTATCAGGAACAAAATATAGTTTGTTGATCTAAGATTTGGTCATTTTAGGAGTATTTAAACATATATGTTTACTAAATCTAGAAAAGCACTTATTACTTATTGAAACAGGATGGAATTATGCTTGGTGGAAATTTTGCTGCCACAAATACATGTTCCATTTAAGAGATAATTGATAATGAATGTTATTTTTTCCTCTGCATTAAGTTTCACTTATTTTGAAATAAACATGTAAGCCAAAATACAACCACAAGACAAAACACTTACTTTAAGTGCCCCCATTTCAGACAAGTGGGTAAATCTCCCTGAATGACATTAAATAATTATACATGCAGCAACTAAATGAAGTTATCTGGATGTTTCCATTGTAAGTCTTTATTTATAAAGTTATGACTCGACTGTTTTAATTAGCTTTGGAAGAAATGTGGCCCATCAGCTCAAAGCATAGAAGTAAGTTAATTTTTGTGTACAAAACAATTACAGTCATTGATTAAGCTCTCCTTCAGTCAGCAAAGTTAGATTCAAACTCTTATAGACCAGAGAAAAGTAAAAACTCTTTTTAAAAATATATTAATAGTCACTGCACTTGCAAAAATAAATGTTAGACTTACATGGAAAACCAACAGTAACTCATCCTAAATTGATGATTGTTAGTGCACTTGTTTTATGGTCTGCTAACAATACAGTGCTACCACCTTACATTTCCTTGTGATGACATAAATCAGAAGTCACTCAGTCCCTTCTCATACACTATTTGATTTGTTTGGTTTGGTTTTTTTGAGGCAGGGTCTCACCATGTAGTTGAGACTGACCTGGAACTCACTATGTAGCCCAGGCTGGTCTCGAACTCACAGCGATCCTCCTGCCTCAGCCTCCCAAGTGCTGGCATTACAGGCGTGCACTACCACGCCTGGCTCTCATACACTGTTTGAACTTTCCTGTGTGACTTAGGGAGCACAGGTATTATTATACCATTTCACAGATGAGGATAACTGAGTTTATAAAGAGGTAGCGCAGACCTAAGAGGTTTGGTTGGCAAGAAGGCTATCAATCCTGGACCAAGATTCTTTCTGCTTCTCAGTCTCTGACGTTGAACTCAGTGAGAGAATAAGTAGGAAAGTGTCTTTTTGTTTGTTTGTTTTGTTTTTTATTTTTTTTTAAAGAAAAAGCTGAATGGATGGCGAGTTAACACATGAATATTCCTCAAGAGTATTTAATTCATTCACACTGAACCCCATGAGAGAAGAAACTTGTGTGTTGCTGCTCTTTTCTTTCTTGGGGCAATAAAAGTACAAGATTCCTATTTACAATTGCTATATCCACAGGCTTGAGTCAAATGCAGCTTTTTGGCTGCTGGACCTTCATCCTAGAAAGACAGGAAGACATTCTGTGTGGAAGATGCCCCAAGGATGTACCAGAACCTCTAAAGTGATGGTGTAAATACGGCAACCTCCCTTCAAAACCTCCACTCAGTTACTGCTTCCCGGCACCCAGGAGCAACGCCCAGGGTCTCCAACTATAATAATCCAGGGCAGAAATCCTTGCCACCTCGTGTCTCTAAGGCCTTCTGCAAGAGAAGACACCGCCACACACCCGCCCTTTCGAAGCTCTCAGGGCAGACTGTGACTGACATCTGCCACTTACCTGGCCGGGGTGCTTTGGCCAGGAAGCCCTGCGTGCCATCCCAAGACTTTGCGCCAAGAAAATAAAACAAAATAAAACAACTTACCACTTTGGCCCAGTCCAAGAACAAGTGAAAACACCCAGGCTGCCCGGAGAAAGGAGGCAGGACCTTGCCGGCAGTTTTGCACGCAGACAAATGCAGCAGGAAAAAAAGCCAGGGCCGAGCCGCACATAATGCAAAGCAGCCCGCCCCGCGCCCGTCGCCTGGCTGCTTTCCTGACGAGCGCTCGAGCCTCCCAGGCGCACCTCGGGGCCCGCGGGCCGGAGG